CTGCCACACCCCAGCCAGGGCTGCCACACCCCAGCCAGGGCCTCCTCCCTGTCTTGGTTCTGGGAGCCGGTCACAGCTACCCACCACCCCTTCCTTGCTCAGGGCCTCTTCCACTCACATCAGGAGTCTCACAATGGCCTCAGGCCTGCCCGTCAGTGGCCCAGGAAGAAATACCCAGCTAGAGGCCACCCCAGGACCCCCTGTCTTTGTCTTCTCTGGAGCAGTAGAGTGGATGTAAAGAGATGCTCTTGGGCCTGTCGCCTGGGAGCTTGGGGGTCTGGTTAGACTCAGCTTCAGTTTTGATTTCGTCCATTTAACCGGAAGCCCTGGGTGCTCCTGCTAGTGTCCAGGCCACGGTGGCCAACCCTGCCTGTGGGAAGCTTGCGTGGAATATTCCCTGGCCACACTGGTGACTGTGTCTTTCCTTGTCTTCGCAGCTCAGCTCTGCTTTCCGACCACCGCAAAAAGACTCCTCCTCAAACCTGGTCGCCAAGGCCCAGTCCTTGCCCTCGGACCAGCCCATGGGGACTTTCAGCCCTCTGACCACCTCGGACACCAGCAGCCCCCAGAAGTCCCTCCTCCGCACAGGCCCAGCCGCTGGCCCGCTTCCAGGCCGGTCTTCTCCAGTCGGCTCCCCCCGCACTCGGCACGCTCAGATCAGCACCAGCAATCTCTACCTGCCCCAGGACCCCACAGTGGCCAAGGGGGCCCTGGCTGGCGAGGACACGGGCATTGTGACCCATGAGCAGTTCAAGGCTGCGCTCAGGATGGTGGTGGACCAGGGCGACCCCCGGATGCTGCTGGACAGCTATGTGAAGATTGGGGAGGGCTCCACGGGCATTGTGTGTCTGGCCCGGGAGAAGCATTCGGGTCGCCAGGTGGCGGTCAAGATGATGGACCTCAGAAAGCAACAGCGCAGGGAGCTGCTCTTTAATGAGGTGGGAGCCAGGTGGGAACGTCAGCGTCAGCGGGGGCAGTGAGTGTGCAGTGAAGCCGGGCGCCTGGGGGCGACGTGGCAGGACGGCGGGGGGCGGGGCGGGGCGGGGGCGGGGCCGAGGGGCGGGGGGCGGGGCCTGGCCATGGGATACTGTGCCAGGCACTCAGGCCTCTCTCTACCCTCAGGTGGTGATCATGCGTGACTACCAGCACCTCAACGTGGTGGAAATGTACAAGAGTTACTTGGTGGGCGAGGAGCTGTGGGTGCTGATGGAGTTCCTGCAGGGCGGGGCCCTCACGGACATCATCTCCCAAGTCAGGTGGGCAGCCGAGAGGGCTGAGCTGAGGGAGGACCACCCCGCCACTGCCTTGGCGTGGGGATCAGCTGCCTCTGGCCCATAAGGCTAGTCACCTTAGACTCCCTGCCTATTTGGGGGTAACTGTGACTCGGTGGTCTTAGAAAAATGGTTACAGCCTGCTTAAATCGGCTGCTTGGGAATTGTAGGCCCCTTTGCCTGGGTCTCCTCTCTCCTCGGCCCAGCCACCCTGATCACTCGGCTCTCCCATGGGTGGCCTATCTTCTCTGTCCAGGCTGAATGAGGAGCAGATTGCTACTGTGTGTGAAGCTGTACTTCAGGCCCTGGCTTACCTGCACGCCCAGGGTGTCATCCACCGGGACATCAAGAGTGATTCCATCCTGCTGACCCTTGATGGCAGAGTAGGTCCTCCCTTCTCATGGCTCAGCTATTCCCCCGGATCCTCTCTGGCACCCCCTTTCCTCCTGGTCTCTACCCACTTTCTTCTCCACCCCCAGGTGAAGCTCTCAGACTTTGGATTCTGTGCTCAGATCAGCAAAGATGTCCCCAAGAGAAAGTCCCTGGTGGGAACCCCATACTGGATGGCTCCTGAAGTGATCTCCAGATCTCTGTATGCTACTGAGGTAACTATTTCCTCCACCTCCAGGCCTCCCTGGAGAAACTTAGGAACATGTAGCTCCTCTGTCTTGTCCCTCTTAATGGTTCCCGCCACTAATAACCCCAGTTCTGAAGTATCCATTTAACCAGCATCTGCTGGTCCCTTGCCCCCCCTTTTGAGGTAGGGTCTCTCTATGTAGCCCTTGATTTCCTGGGACTCATCATGTAGACCAGACTGGCCTTGAACTCACAGAGATGCCCCTGCCCCTTCCTTGCAAATGCTGGGATTAGAGGCCCTCGCCACCACGGCCAGTCCCACCTCCCCTTTTCGATGGAGTCACTCTTGCGTGGACCCCTCACCGCCAGGAGCAGGCCCTGCCACACACTGCTCTCTTCAGCTCAAGGGCCACAGTGGCATATGGCCAGCGTTCTCCATGAGGGATGGCTTCTATGGTCTCTGGCCACTCAGACAGAAAGGGCTCTGACCTTAGGCCAGCTGGCCAGGGGATGAAGGAGGCAGACTCACTAAGGAGACTTGGAAGGAGACAAGATGCACCATCCAACACACTGCAACACCAGACCCCAGCAACAGAGTCAGGGCTCTTCCCCTGCAGGTGGATATCTGGTCTCTGGGCATCATGGTGATTGAGATGGTGGATGGAGAGCCTCCCTACTTCAGCGACTCCCCCGTTCAAGCCATGAAGAGGCTCCGGGACAGCCCCCCTCCCAAGTTAAAGAACTCTTACAAGGTTGGTTGTTGTGCAAGCTGTGAACTCCCCGGCCTCATGCCCCGGGCCCCTCTCTCCTGAGATAAGAGGATGGGAACATAGGCTTCACGAAAGCAGAGGGTATATCCCCTTGGTCTTCCTCCACACAACACCTGTGCTGGGTACAAAGTCACATTTTATGTACAAACTCCCAGGTTCACGCCAACAAATTCCCACCTGTAGCTGCAGCAGGAGAATCACTTCTTGGCAGGCTCTCGGCAGGAACCCACCCATACTGATGAGGAGGAAGAGTGAGGAAGGACCCTGGGAAGGAATCCAGAGTACAGCTCCTTCCACCCTACTTGTCCGGGGGCCCCATACCAACACAGTGCCATCACGTGAATGGGCTTGTCCGCTTGTATGACACATCCTGACCACAGCTGAACCAAATATCACTACAGCTTCCCGCCCCCCTACCCCCGGACCAGTATATATACTTATTATAATTAACTCTCTCCTGCCAAATCAATCCCCTGCTGGCAGATTGGCACAGGACAGCTAAGTGGTACTGCCACCTGGTGGCCAAAGCCAAGAAAATGTCCTAGAGGATTGAAGCGCAGTCTCTAAATGGCTCCAAGACAGCCTGATCCTTGGAGACTGCTGTGCTAAGCCTGAGATGAGCAGGTCCCGAAAGAAGAGCGCTCATCGGTGAACTGCCCCAAGGAGGCAGCCTTCTATAGCATCCTAAGACAGCCTTTTAGATCTGGAACTGGATCACGGGTGCCAGTTCCATGCCCCTTTCACAGAGCTGCAGAGCCTGAATGCCAAGAGCCCCCCCCCCCGCGCGCCCCCCGAAGCAGGCAGGGGTAATGGGCTGTGTATGGAACCCAGCTCCCCAGAGTTGCAGACATCCTCATTCTGTTGCTCTGCAGCTCCCATGACAGGTGAACTGGCCTCCTTTCCCTACCTCATAATCCAACAGTCAGTGAGCCTGGGAGGAACCAGGAAGTAAGAAACCAGAGAAAAATGAGGTATAAAACAGTGGGAGCCCCACAGTCAAGCCACAGGGAAGCGACTGTGAGCCAAGGCTTCCTGTCACTGTTCTGCTCCACCAGGTCTCCCCAGTGCTGCGAGACTTCCTGGACCGGATGCTGGTACGGGAACCCCAAGAGAGAGCCACGGCCCAGGAGCTCCTGGATCACCCCTTCCTGCTGCAGACAGGGCTGCCTGAGTGTCTGGTGCCTCTGATTCAGCTCTACCGCAAGCAGACCTCCACCTGCTGAGTCCACACCCAGGGTGCCCCTGCCGCCTGTGCCCGCAGGCAAAGGACACTGGGCAGCCAGTCCACGGGCAGGGCCTGCCTGCCTTGTTCTCTCAGTATTCTCTCCAAAGATTGAATGTGAAGTTCCAGCCCTTCCTTCCTGCCCTTCTGCCCGCTGGGCCAGGCCGGACCTGCCCCCTCAGTCTCACCCCCCGGCGTCCCAGTTGCCTTTGGGACGACAATGACCCCCTTCTGCAGGTTTGGCCCTTTGCTATTTGCACAGGGATGTTTCTAAGAAACACAGAGAGTGGTGCTCCTGGCCACCAGCCAGCAAAGCCGACAGGCTGCTGAAGGTGTCTAAAGGCAGTGTCCACCAGTGTCCTGGCCGCCAAGAGGGCGCATGGCCCATCTTCACACGGACACTTGCTGTTCTCAGCTACGGCTTCAAACCCTGGAGGCCCAGAGGGCCGTGGGGAAGGATTCACTGCCTGGATCCTTCTTCCTCCCTGGGGCTGACTTCTGGAAGCCCCACTTGCACCTGTTCCCCATCTGTCCCCTGGCATAGCCTCTCCCCAGCAAGCCTCCACAGAACTGTGAATCGCCTGTGTGTAGGCCATGGGAGCAGCAAGGGGCAATCTTCTGAGAGAGCGAGTGTGTAGTTGATGGTAAAAGTGACTCCATTTTTCAGGATGGAGAGAACATTTTCTTGTTCTTTCTCTCTCTCTCTCTCTCTCTCTCTCTCTCTCTCTCTTTCTCTCTCTCTCTTTCTCTCCCTCCTCTCCCTCCTTCCCTTTCCTCTCTGTCTCTGTCTCTCTCTCTGTGTCTCTCTTCTGTCTCTCTGTCTCTGTCTGTGTGTGTGTGTGTGTGTGTGTGTGTGTGTGTGTGTTGTGTGTAAAGTCCCCCAAAGGCCCAGGCCTTTCCAGTTACCCCCAGAGAGCTTCAGAAGAGCTCCCCGCCCCCCACAATCTTCTTTTCTACCAAGCTCTGCTCTGAAGGGACCTGCTTTGGGGGCCTGGTTTTCTGCCTCTCAAGTCTCATGTTATTACCTAAACAGTGAAGGGATGTGTATATGTCAAGTCTAACACATGCTGGGGGGCCTTGATATGTCTGAGTTTCTCCCCTACTGAGACAGGAGCCAGATCATCAGGGACCCATCCTCTTTAGAACCCTGGGCTGGGACAGGAAGGTGAATCACCTCCTGTGGGAGGGGGTCCTTCATGCCAAGGGATGGGTCCTCCTCATGTGAACCAGCTGCCCCTGCAGATCTTTACCTGCCCCTTGTCCTCCCTCCCTCCCCACCTTCCTGGCTGTTGTGAGACAGGGAATGCCAAGGAAGAACTCCAGTATCTGGACCCTATCCAGATAATATTTTTAGATCCCTCTGCTCCCTGGTGACCTGCATTAGGGCAAAAAAAAATTGCAAGGTCTTTTTTTAAGGGTCAGAGTTTTAAAAACAAAAGCATCTTCCCTAGAAATTTTTGTGAATTGTTTGCACTTGTGCCTGTTTTAAATTAAACTGAATGTTCGAACCTCTGGGTTTTCCATTCTCTGGGCCTGAAGCCAGGCTTTTTTGGAGCCGGATGCCCTTGGAGTGGGTGCTTGGTGGGCTCCTCCGTGGTCACTTGAGTCCACAGGACACCCGCTTCTCTGGTGACCTGTACACCTGGAACGAGGGCAGAGGAGGGAGGAAATGGAGTGAAAGGCCCTCGGAACAGACGCAAAGGGGTGAGGGGGCTCTGGCCAGGGCTGAGCTCCTGAGCCACAGGGCTGACTGACCCCTCAACTTTGGCTTCTCCCCTTGCCTGGTCCTCAGGCTGCCCGTAGAAAACTCCCTGAAACGTCTGCTTGAGAGAAAGCAGACCCTGTTCATTTCTTAAAACTGAAGGATGCCGGGCAGTGTTGGCTCACGCCTTTGATCCCAGCACTCGGGAGGCAGAGGCAGGTGGATCTCTGTGAGTTCAGGGCCAGCCTGGTCTACAGAGTGAGTTCCAGGAAGGCGCAAAGCTACACAGAGAAAAATCCTGTCTTGAAAAAAAAAAAAAAACTGAAGGAGTAATTTCAAAATTTCAAAAGAGCAGGAAAGTGACCAGAAACCGAGAAACTTGGGTTCTAGGCCCAGGGTTGGAGGTGGGTAAAATTACCTTCTAACGTCTTAGCTCTGGCAGGATTCCAATCTCCCTTTTCTGAGCTCTACACCCAAGGCACTGCTCATCCAAGCCACTTAACGAGGCCTGAGGAGCCACACCCAGCCCCCAGCCCCCAGCCCCCACCATTCAGCAAGAAGCAGACCCCTGCAGCCCTCTACCTTCAGGCTCTAGCTGTAGGATGGCCAGCCGGGGCCAGGGGCCGATGAGGGGAGGAAGCACCTCCAAATGAAGTGCGTGCTTCCATCTTCTCAAAGGAAGCCAAGAGGCAGGCATGAGCAGGAAGGCACAGAGAGGCCGGTTCTCCAGATGGAACACTGGGTTTATTAGCTGCTCTTCCTCTCTCTTGTCCTTTTCACGGCTCATTCCAAAGGCATGTGCCAATGCCCTTCTGCCTTCCACACAAATCAGAACTGGGCGCCAGGGGCCCGGGTGACTCTTCACGATGAGAACAATCATATGAAAAGCAAAATACACAGCAAAATCTTTTCTACAGCAGGAGGGAACAAGGGGGGAGGGACCACAGCCTCAGTGTACCGAGAGCGGACAGAGAAAGTTTGGGGAGAGTGAAGTGTACCGGGGTTCTCCACGGAGCCTGCTAAGGAGTCTGTGCGGACAGCAAGGCCCCCCAGCTCAGTTCAGACCGGAAAGATTTGCTATGGTGTTCCAAAAACATCACTTGCCACCACCACCAGGCTTCCAGCCACTCCACGGACCACAGACAGAGATGCACCAGGGTGACGTTCCCCCAGAATACCACACCAGAACCGAAAAGAGGACAGCACCCCTGACACACAACGTGTGAGCCAAACTTCATGGTGCTTGAAGCCAAAATATTTGTATTCTTACACCATTAAGAATGTCATTAAAATTAAACACAGTTGAAAATGGAATGTGAGCAAGGAAGGGTCAGAGAAAAAGCTGTATTCACTTGGAGTGTCCCTGCCCTGACCTCCTCTGGCTTTTCAGACACTGTGGTATTGTTTATCTCAGGGGACTGAGGAGAGGCAGGGGCGTGTGTGTGTGTGTGTGTGTGTGTGTGTGTGTGTGTGTGTGTGTGTGTTGGAGTGGGGTGGCAGATCTATCACACAGAATGGAAAGCAGCTGCCGTGAGAAAACAACGCACGTGGTCAGGTCAAGGCTCAGAAACCATAGGGGTTGGCATCTCTAAAGAGAGCAGGAACTCTCTCAACAGTGGCCTTGGCTTGGAAAACGGCTTGGGGTTCTTGGTAAAGGGGTTCGGGGCACTGTTTACCCCCAACGCTGACTTCTTGTACACTGTTCCTCACTTCACTGAAGTGAAGCGACTTCAAGTATCCGGATGTAATATTCTGCCAGAGGAACATGCATGGGTAAAATGCACACAGCGGGAGAAGTTACACATCGATGATCTCCCATAAAAGCCGAGTCTGAGTTCCCTGGGCGCAGCGAGGAGAGCGCAGAGGTTGCCACCAGGGGGCAGCAAGGATCACCGGGCTGGCGCGCGGCCTCGGAGCCTAGCCAGCCAAGGAGCTGGGGAGGTGTCGGGGGCTCTGCAAAAGCTGACTTCCTACTCCGCAGCAGCCGCAGGCCCAGTTTCTCAGCACCAGCATTCTCTCTCTGGGCATTTCCCTCGGAGCTACTGGTGAGACACCCTCCCACAAAGACAGCAGATCAACTTCTTAAAAAGACCTTATCGCGGGCAGGTGAGGAGCCACGTGCTCACTCTTCGGGGTTCACAAACAGCAACCCGAGGTACGGCCAGAAAACATGCACTGCCTTGAAGCAGGAGTTTTCACCACACCCCGCTGGTATAGATCTCCCACCAGGAGCGAACGCTGACACTGGGTCGTAGAGCATGCGACCTGCCAAGCCCCTTTCTTCGCAGCTTGTCGCCTGTCGCCTGTCGAGGCGGTACAGAGTTGGAGGGCAGGGGCGGGGAAAGAGAGAGAGAGGACAAAAGACGTGTCGGGGAGGGGGCCGAACTACCTCTCTGCGGTTGCTTCTGACTCACTAATCTGCCCAGTAATAAAAGCTGAAAGCTGGGCTGGGACTGCATCCCACGCGGTGGGGCACAGGCAGGGGTCCTGGGTCTCGCTCTAGCATCCATCATCTGCCCTGCCCTCCATTAACAGCCCAGCAAGAAGCAGGAGACGTTTAGCAGCCCCCTCCAATGCTCTCTCCGGAGTTTGATGTAATTTAGATCCGGACCTGCGGTTCGTGTGGGCTCCCGACTCCCGCGCGCCGCCGGTTAACGTTGCAAACACTCCAGTCAATTATCCCCCTCGCGGAGGTGCTATTTAAAGAGACATTGTCAGGTTCTTAAGCCTCGGATCAGACCTGCTGCTTTCTGCTTCATACACAAAGGCTCAAAACACGAGTTCTTTTGAGGGGTGGAAGAAATACAATTAAGCAAATCCTTCCTAACTGTTCTACCCTCCTGGAGCACCCACGTGCAGAATGGGGGAGCTGGGAGGAGGAGGAGGAGGTGGGACGCTAAGTCCTTTCCATTTCAGGCCTCTGGGACTAAGTGGAAATGTAAGTAAAGCTGGGCCAGGATGAGTGAGGGATTGAACCTCACAGATGAAATTCGAATGCAATCAATCATGCTGCGGGTCAAGCTGGCCCAGGAGCCAAGAGTCAATAGGGGCTCGGGGGAACAGTGACCCTATAATATCAATGATGTTGAATCCTGGGTCTGACTGAGACAGTCAGAGGAAGCTCATTCTCCAGAAGCGACAACTGGTGAACAACAACACGGTACAAAGTCCCCAAAATAGCCTCATCGTCTCGAAGAAGGAGTTTCTACCTCGGAAAACCTTAACCAATGGATTCCTTCATAATCAGCCCTCTGGCCCAAAAAGCGAATGGGGCCGTTTCAAGCCTCCCTTTCTCCAACGCTTACTGGGAGGGGAACGGGTAGTTATCAGCATCAGCAGGCGGCAGGCTGGGCCTTTGTTCTCCAAAGCCAGCTCTACTGGTGCCGGGCTGCCAAGCTGATGGGAAAGTTAGAAATAAGCTGGGAGTCTTACAGGAACCGAAGCAGAAGCTAGGCGGCTGGGCCTCAGGGTCCACTTTTCTGGCTAGAAAGCTGAAGCCCACATAAGTCTTTCGCGCCTCTTTTTTTTCCCCCCCCAGAACAAGAGAGTCGGGCTGTAGAAAGGTGAGGGTAATACCAAAGGAAATACCAAAGGTAATACACAGGAAATACCAAAGAGCACAAAAAGATGAGATCTCTTTCTCCAATCTGGTGGAGGACTGGTGGAGGTCTTCCTTTAGCAGTAAGGGACAAAGTGTGTGTGTGTGTCGGGGGGAGGGCGCAAATCGCAGAGAAAGGGAAGGACTTGGAGGAAAGGGACATCTCAGTGACCAGAGACAAGAGGGCGGACTTTGCAGGGCTCGACCTTCATGCCCCTTACCGCTGGGCCTGCAATACCACAGCCTCTGTGCCCGCCTGCCAAGGCTTTGGCTCAGGCACTGAGCACGGCAGAGCGTTGGTCTCTAATTCCGGGCCACTCTCTGGCCCTGAAGCCTCCCCGACCAGGCTGGGGATGTCTGGGGCTGTGGAACGTCGCCGCAAACCCAGGCGGCCAGAGCCTGGACCACCCTCGGGATGAGGACTAAGGCCGATAGGGGCTTGCACTAGGGTTGGGGGCACTCCCTGCAGCACCTCCTGGGAGCGCCACCGCCCACTCCCCGAAGACTGGGGTGAGTTTGATCGGGCCATCAGAGCGCCTGCCCTAAGGCGTGCTGTCTCCTCCTCCGTCATGGTACCCAGCGCTAGGCTCATGCTCCGGCCCAGCTCTGGCCTCTCGCTGCCTGGCGCCCTGTGCCGGCCCGAGCCCTTGCCAGCAGAGGCAAGCTCACCTCCGTGGCCGTGGCCGTGGCCGTGACCATGGCCGTGGCCGCCGGCAGCTCGCGCAAACCGTGCCAAAAGGGGCCGCGGTAGACGACGGGGGCTGGGTCGTCGACGCTCGGGGCTGGGCGCCGGGGCAGGGCGTCCAGGGGGACTGTCGGAATTGGAGCCCCGGGCCGCGGCCGCGGCGGCTGCCCGACCCCAAGGCCCGGTGAGGGCCTGCACACAGGTCCCGTGACCGCGGGAGGCGGCCAGCTGCAGCGCCGTGAGGCCCGCGCGGTTGGTGCGGTCCAGGCGCAAGCCCAGGCGGCGGAAAGAGCGCACCAGGAACTCCAGCACCGCCCCGTGGCCGCACGCCGCCGCCCACATCACCGGGCTGTTGCCGGCCGAGTCCGCTGCCTCCGGGTCGCCGCTGAACTGCACCAGCAGCTGCACGGCATCCAGGTGGCCTCGCTCGCAGGCCAGGCTGAGTGCAGTGCGGCCGCGCTCGTCCCGCAAGTTCACGGCCGCACCCTGCTCCAGCAGCAGTCGCACGAAGCGCGAGCGCATGGCGGGGTCCGGCAGCCCCACGGCCACCATGAGCGGCGTACGGCCCTGCTCTGCGCGGCAGTCGATGATGCTGCGGTCCAGCGCGTCCAGCACGAAACGGGCCAAGTGGACTTTGCCCGCCTGCATGGCCTCAAGGAAGGTGCGCGTACCCGCCCGGGGGCATAGGTCCTTGGGCTTGAGCATGGCTCCGGCGACCGTGCTCGGGAAGTCCGACAGCTCCGCACGGGGGCGCCCCTGTTCCCTCACCCCCAAGGGGCTACGGCCCCGGCCCGGACACCGGTACCGCTCTTTCCGCGCGTAGGTGGCAGCAGCCGAGGGTCCTGCGGTTCCCGCTCAGGTCTCCCTGCTGCTCCGGGGTTCTTCTTGCGCTCCTCCCTGGGCCTCCCGCCTGGAGGTGTGGGCTGCCTGCTACTCCCGGCTCCCGCTCAAGCTCGACCTCCTCAACTCTTGGGCCGTTTCCCCCGTGTCCGACGCCCCTCCGGTCCCTCGTGGCTTGGAGCAGCGCCACTCACCGGCACCCCGGGCAGCCCCGGCTCCCCTGCTGAGCGGGTGGCTCCCGCCTGGCGCGCTTGCCTCCTGCCTCGGCGGGGAGCGCCGCTCCTCCAGCTCTCGAAGCCTCTTCCCCGCCTCCTCCCCTCTTGCGGGGGCCGGGACGCTTGCTTTTTTACTTGGGGGGGCTCAGCGGCTCGTGAGGTGCCCGACGCCTAGATACCTGGCTTTATAGCTTCGGGGGTCTCCATGGCAATGGCTGCCCTGGAAGCGGGCTCCGCCGTCAGGGACAGAGACGGACAGGGCGAGGGAGACCGCCCCTGACCCCCACCCCTTCGTGGGCCACGAAGTTGGGGAGCGGCTCCTCCTCCGCGCTCCCCAGGGAATGCGGCGGCGGCGGCGGGGCGGGGGCGGAGGCTGCTCGCCGGGGGCCACATGCACCCGGCGGGGCCAATCCTAAAGTCGCAGTCTTCTTTCCCCGCCCCCCGCCTCCGCCCGAGTCGGTACCCTCCGCTGCTTAGAAACTGGCGGGAGCTCCTGCCATCGGTTCTAGGTTAAAGGGACTGGGACCCCAAGAGGATAGAACTGGACAATCCACGGGCTTAACTGGGGTGGGGGTGGGGCCAGAGACAGGAGTAATTTGGGGTTTGAGGCATTGGTGCTCCGGACTGAGGGCGCTCAGTCTGGCTGATAACTGCCATCCAAAGTGCAGCGAATCAGTCACACACAATTGTGCCTCCCGCACACGCTCACTCAGAGCAGGGCGGGGGTGCGTTCTCCAATCTCAGACGTCTCAAACCTGACAGCGCGCCCGCATGCTAGTTCCACGGTCGCTGTGAAGCAGGCTGACTAGACACCGGCCGCTGTGACCCAGGGCAGGTGCCTTAGGAAGGACCTGAGAGTGTGCAGGCATTAGGACTATCCGAGCACTACTCCCTAGTCCCTCCAGGACAGGCTATGGTCCAGGAAAGGGCAAACGACAAAAGCAAAAATTCTCCCACAGGGCTGGGTTCTCTCGAACATAAAATCCTCTCTAGGCCACAGGGTTCTAGACCTGACCCCTAAAGAAAGGGGAGAGCCTGATCCATTTTCAATCAGATGTGTAGAAAAGCCACCGGAGAGCCTCTTCCTTTGGGGGAACCAGCTGCTTGGCTCTGGGGACAGGGGCATACTGAAGGCCTCAGCTGAGATGAGTTACAATGAGTGCCTCACAACTTCCCAGGTCCAGAGGGCATGAGAATAGTTGGAATGGAATTCATTTGTAGAGTAAGTGAAGGGCTAGGGATTTTTTGCAGTTGGTAGAGTACTTGTCCAATATACACAGAACCATTGGTTCAATTCCCAGCACTGCATGGAACCAGGTGTGGCGCTGCACACCTCTAACCCCAGCACTTGAGAGGTAGGGGCAGGAGGATCAGAAGTCCAAGATCATTCTTGGCTGCACGAGACCCCTGTCTCAAAAAAAGAAAAAGTGAACTTACTGAGTCAACTACTGGATGTCTAAGATGTCATGAGCCCAGCACTGCGTTTCTAGCAACGGGAAATACAGATGCACAAACTAGATCCTGAATGGATGAGATTTGCCTTCTCAGTCAGGAAGACAAACCCAGGATATGAGGAGCGGAGGCAGTCGCCCAAGGATTGACTATATCTGCTAAATCCAAAACTCAGCCAGCCAGTGGAAGGAAGGACATTATGATGGCAAAGAGATGGGTCAGGGGTGTCCTGAAGACAGCAGCTGAGGTGGTTGGCCCTTCAGGGACGAGTGACGTTGGGCTGCTAAGCAATAAGACGGTCCAGACAGAGGGGTTAGAGAGACAAGGGCACCTAACAGGGACAACTTGAGGGTTGTGTTCAGGGGTCCTACGCTGTAAGAGACAGGAAACCCAGTGAAGAATCAAGGGGTCCTCAGCCTCAGCAGGGCAGGAATATGCCTTGTAGGAGACTCCTGAGGCCCAGGATTCTGTGAGGAGGGCTCTTGCTCCTGGAGAAAGGATAAAAGGCCCAAGAGGCCCCTGTGCCTTCTGGAACTCCGGGGCTCCAGGGATGCCCACCGTGGATTTGGTCTAGACCATGCAACAGGGACTCACACTCTCCTTTGTCCCCTGAGGAGCAGGTTCTAACTGCACACCCTGTGAAGTGAGCCCCCACACATTTCCTGGCACAAGAGCTAGGTCTCAGCCTGTGTCATGTACTGGCAGCGTCATTCCAGACCTGCATGCTCCCCTCTGTAAGAGGAAGTGGAGACATCTTAGTCTGCTCCCCAGACCAGGGAGCCAGTGTTCGAGACAGCGCCGCTACCAGATCATTTTTTAGAGGATAGTCTGCCCTACCTATGACCAGGTGACGACACTCTCCACTCCCAGGAAGGGAACAGGAATGTTCTCTTTACCCAGCAGAAGAAAGGCTTTTGTCCCTTTTGGACTCAGTTTTCCCTGTCTGCATCATGAGAGGAATCACGTTCTTCCTGTGTGCCTGCCTTTAGGAGATAGGTTAGGCTGGGTACCTCTGGGAGGAGAAAAGTAGCAGGAGCCCAGAGGAGGGCATTGGCCAAGCCCTTCCTCCCAGGGGACCAGCCCAGCTTTGTTTATGCCCCTTGCCTGTGGGGGAGGGAAACAATGGGGGTGGGTAGTTGGTCAAGTCCCCTTCAGAGCCCCCGCTCTGTCTGTGCTGAGTTCCTAGACGGACGGTGATCCCAGGTCTCAGGCCCTCCGGCCTTTGCTCTGACTTTCTTCCCTGGGCTCACCGTGTTCTGAACAGCAAAGAAACTGGCAGAGCAGGAGAAAGCTGAGCCTTCACCGTGGAGCGCAGAGGCACCAACAGCCTGAATTAGAAGCTGTCGCCGCCGTCGCCGAGGGAGCTGAAGGCTGCCTGGAGAAGGGGCTGTGCTGGCAGGGGGCAGGCAGGCTCTTCACCCTCCTCCCCTCCCACCTGCCCAGCTTCTCCTCCTGCAGGCCCCAGGCTGGCACAAGGGCCTCCTCCCAGAGGTGCCTCCGACTGCAAATCTGTCTGTAACTGCCCCTCCCCGCCCCCTCCTTCCCTCCTCAAGTGTCACCAGCCCCCTCAGCCTGTCACATTGCACCAGCTCGCTCCTCGGGGTTGAGTCTAGTGGCACGTGCCTGGGAGCTGCAGGGAGCTGGGGAGGTGGGGTGAGTCAGCAGAGGATCTGCTACTGAGTCAGCCGCGGGACTGCGAAGGGGTGAGGACCCTTCCCCATGCGGAAGGTAAATGGAAATCATGAGTGAAACGGGAGCCTGGCCCTGGCCCTGGGGGGCACAACAGGCAGGGGACCCAGGTGTCTTTCACCTGTCCAGTGCTCCGTGCCCAATGCCCCAGGGAGAGCATCAACTCTTCCTCTGTCCTTCCCCAGTGGTCAGAGATTAATTTCTCTCTCTGGGGCCTAGAGACAGCATTTGCCCAGGGGGAGATCGGCCCTTTTGGCATCAGACTGAAAGCAGGCAAGTGAATATCAGGACTGCTTAAGAAGCTGTTCAGAGGCCCCTTCAGGAGGCAGGGTCACACCCCCTTCCTGCTCCTGGGCTGCTCCGTTCAATCCTGGCCTGGCAGGAGGAGCCGTGAAAGCAGCTTCTCCTTGCCCTGTGGGTTCATGGGTATTGATTGTGGCTATTGCCCAGTGCGCTGTGCTGACTCTGAAGGATGCCGATGTACCTGGCTCACTGAGGTCCCCTCAGTCTGGATCCTCATCGCTACAGAGCTCTAGCCCCAGGAGGTGGGAGGAAAGGGGAAAACAGGACTTCCAGCAATGGGTCGAGGTCAGAGCATTGCTCTGGGGTGTAGATGTCCCGCCCCGGGGGTACCCAGTGGGGTAGGACGGGAGGCTGGCTGACAAATGCTAGGCTTTAGTTGTATGCCTGAATAGGCCTTAGCTTTACCCTGTGGTCAGGGACCGGTAGGGACCCCTGAGGTCAGGCCCTGAGAGGTACAGGGGAGGGTGTCTCTGTTCATTTTCCAAAGGCACAGGTGCTCATAGTTAATGGCATCTGTTGTAACTCTCCCATAAGAAAACAACCTCTTCCCAGAATCACCCCACCCTGCTAGCCGCATTTGGGATTTGGGACAGAGCTGTAGGTGTGGTGAATGGCTGCCCACAAGGCCTGCCTCCAGCAAGAGCCGCAATCAACCACAGCAGCAGCAGCGGGTCCCCAAACATGTGGTCACTGCAGGTCTTCCTAAGAGAGGCCCAGCTAACCTAAGGTTTGGGAGTTCCTAAGAGGGTGGGGTGCACTTTTGTATTGGAGTCTTTTGCTCCAGCCCTGAGGGTGGAGACAAGGAAGGACCCCAGCTGTGTGGGAGTGGAGAGGGGGATGACATCATCCTCCAGTGGTTCCCGCATCAGGACCAGCCCATGGGGAAGCAACCCCTGTTCAAGGCCAGAGGCAGGGCCATGTTACAGAGAGCCCCAGACGACTCCCCAGGGGACCCACCCCATCCCCATACAAGCAGCTTCATTTCAGAGACATTCCACTCCTCTACTGTCTTTTCCTAACCAGAGAACAGAGGCCAGCCTAAGGCAGGAAATTCCAGGTAAGGGTTCTTTGGTAGGCATAGGAAGAAAATAAATAAACCACCTAAATCCAGGAAAGAAAATGATGACGAACTCCTTCCTCAAGCAACCCACTCGATAGGGGTGGGTACCTGACAGGAAGTGCCAGACCGAGACCCAGAAAAAAGGGTGAACCCGAGAAGCTACAGTCCCCCCTCACCACTCCAGAGTTGGAGCAGTCAAGGAATCTTGTCCATGCAGCTGCCCTTCCCCACAGGCAGGAGGTGAGGGCAGGGGCCTTTTGCTGCCATATTCTGGAAGTCACCATCCCCAGAGAGCTTTGGGGCAGTTCCAGGCTCTGCCTTAAGGAGATGGGCAACAACGCTCTGTACTCAAGGCAGGCCTGAGGTGTGGCCTAGAAGCCCCTACATCAAGGCAGGAGGGCTTGGATTTGGTTCTGCTGGGGCCACACGTACAAGCATAAAGATTCTAGGGAGCAAAGGCAAGCCCCCAGGAAAGGGAGCTCCAGGTGAAGGGCTGTTAGTTAGCAAAGGCAGAGGGAAGACCAGAACCCAATTTCCCCACTCTCGGTCTGTACTCCTTTGCCTTCGATGACAGAAGAAGCCAGCTTAGGAAAAGACGTGGGTTCCAAGTGGGTCCTTCACCCTGGTGGTCTCTTCTTCCTGCCTTTTCCTGGAGCATCCAAGGAAGACACAGGCTCCCACAGCCCCCGAGTAGTAGGGTTCTTTTCCTCTAGGGAACAGAACCACGTTCCAGAGAAGGGTGTGACTATCCTTGCTAAGATGCCTGAGTGAGGATAGTGGCGTCAGAGGCGGCTCTCTTGGGTGTCTGCTTTGTTCATGAGTGGTTCCTGTGGACACAACTCTTTGGAGGCCTCGCAGGCCCCCTCAGGCCTGTCCTCTGTTTCAGAGGGGAAGCAGGCCTTGAAGCAAGCCCTCACTGATTCCTTCACTTCCGTCTCCAGGCCCTTCATCCTGGCCTCATACTCAGCCAGTGCCTTCTCCTGGAACTGTGGGGACAGCGGGGGGTCATTACCTGGGTTAGGAAGGAGCCCTGCCCACCCCCCTCCAGCTCTGGACTATGGAAAACTAAGATGCCCAGTCCAGTCAGAGCTCCCAGGAGACTGGAGTAGATGGAGGTAGTGAAGCCCATCAGAGAACCTCCCAGGAGAAAGGTCAAGCAAAGAAATCTGCAGAGATGTCTCATTTGAAAGTGACTCAGGACACCATGAGAACCTGCCTGTGACCCCTGGTCGGATGCGATGGTTCCCTTCCCTGACCTCTTGCCCAGAGTCCCGGGGGTTGGACCCCTTCCCACCCTCCAGCTCATTTGGCTCCACTGGGGCCAGAGATCTTCTCACCTGCTTTTCCAGCTCCCGGATCTGCTCCAGGCAGGCGGTCTGCTTCCCTTCCAGCTTCTCCTGGTGCCGCTCCAGGGTCTCGGTCATCTGGGGAGGGGTGAGAGGCCGAGAATCTGAACAGTGCGGGCTAGCTTGGGATTCCGCTCTCATCTCAGCCAGCCAGCAGTGAGACTTGGGGCCAATTCCTTAACCTCTGGGCAGTTCTCCTGCGATTTGTAAGATGAGGTAACAGGACTTGGCTCAAGGGACTGGGAAGGATTAACATGTGACAGCTCACAGGAAGCATGCGGGCGGGCGTCCTGCCTGATACAAGGCCAGGCCACAGCAGGTGCCAGGCCTGTTGCTGTGGTCAGCAAGGCCCAGGGAAGGAGCTTTAGGGCCATTCTCGGTGGGGCTTCTTCCCTTCCCCTTTCCATTCCATGGCACCTCGGGGAGCCTTCCTCACCCACACCGTCCCATCCCCTTCTTCCATGACCAGCTAACTCATGTTTCCCAGACAGTTCCCTTCACACCGGCCTGAGTACTTCCTCCCACTCCCGGCCGGCCGCATATATGGGCACTTCTGGACAGCGTGCCGTAAGGGCTGAAAGGAAGGACATCCACACACCCACGCACGCACGCACGCCTGCCTGTCTAGAGAGTGTCTGGGAAGGACACAGGCCCGCATACCTGCTTGATAGCCTGCACCACTTCCTGGATGTGGGAGTTGTTGATCTCTCTCTTGAGCCTGTAGATTTAACTGGGGTTTTACAAAGGGACTTGGCGGTGGGGGGGGGGAGCAGAATCCTAAGGGCTCCACAAATAAGAACTTGTTGAAGCAGCAACGAGCAGAGAGACCAACTTGGAAGATGGAGAGGGGGCCCTGGGAGCCCTGGGGCCTACCTGCTTCCTCACTAAAACACACTGACTTAAAGGCAGCCAGGGAGGGCCCAGGTGGGGAGCACAGACCT